GCACCCCGGAACTCGCGAATCGGCACACCACCTCAATCTCCCTTTAACCCAGGCCCTTAGCCTCAACACCACTTCACCCCCGGATCCCCTCTCAGTGCAAGGGAGAGTCCCCCCATTCGGGGATATATGTGGCACATTAGGAATGGACCACTCTTTTAATGATTTCCTTGTGCAGCAAGGGAGTAAAGTGTGGTTTTGTGAAAGTCCTTATGTGCTGTGCAGTACATCAATGCACGTGTGTACACCAGCATGCGATAACTGAGTTGGGCCTGTGGGTGGCTGGCAGGGTTCTTGATTAACCTGACTTGTACACCAGTCACGTGGTTAATGGCGACATGGTTGAGAATTGCTGTGTGACACACGTGCTGTTGCATTTTTCAGATAAAGGACCCAAAGGTTATTATTGATCGTTATAGAAATGTTCTAGACTTGTTCTAGACTTCAAGCTTGGCTTTGAATTGTTAGTTTGTGATAAATTCAATAGGAGGGGTTTTAGCACTGTGCACTGTAAAGGATGATGTACTGTAGTTAATACTTGTAATTCTCTAACCCTAATACTATAACCATGCCCATGCACCCAGAGTATGACTACTTGAAATGCTATTGAGAATAGAACACATGTACAGTTATAAGTTGTACAATGGTGACAAGTACAGTACGTATACTATACACATACAGTACAGATAATGGGTGTAAGATACCGATATAAGTGGATCATATAGATAGACATACAGCTTACGATTAAAGTAATATTTGAATAGTGAAGTGCAAAGGTTATTGTCAAAGACAAAGATGGTTCATCAGTAGTAAAATTGGGTTTAAGATAAACTGTTATTGATTAACCGGACTTGTACACCAGTCACGTGGTTAATGGCGACTCGGTTGAGGATTGCTGTGTGTGACACATGTGCTGTTGCATTTTACAGATTTACCACAATACATGTGTTTGCCCTCGATTTGGAGCACCTGCCCACGTCCATGTCCTTCATATCGAGCGTGCAACACATAGCTCACGTGATCCGGTCCATGGCACCGGTCACCTCCGTCCCAGCAGGATCCTGCACCTCTGGAACCTGGAGGGCGAAGAGACGATGGAGATGGAGTCCTCGGCTCAAGGGCGTGGCCCCTCACCATTTGGCAGTGCCCGCTCGAGTCCAGTCACCAAGATCTCGCACTTGGCAGTCTCGATAGGCCTCAGAGATCCGGTTCGACGGGGCTTGAGTTGACTGTGCCGGCGGCCCAATGAGCACGGGTGACTCTACCAATGCCTACTCATCACCCCGACACTCCGCAGCAGTGTGACCCGACCGACCACACACATGGGCGTGGGTCCCTAGGGCAGAGGGAGCTGTCCCCGCTATGGGTCCTCCCGCAGGGATATTGTTGCTTGAGCCCCCCTGCCCTCCACCGCCGCCAACATATTTTGCAGACTCCATGCTGTGGCCTCCCACCTTGCCTCCTGCTGTTGCTCCTCAAATATCTGTATGGTTCTAGCCACCAGTGAGAATGAAATCTCTGTTCCAACGACGGAGGGCGGGCAACCCTCAATCATCTCGCCAGCCCCCGCAGCCTCTTCGCCACCCGAAGGTCGAGCGCCCCCTCACCAACGAGTGGGTATGCCTCGCGTCCAGGATCAGCAGCACTGCCCGGAAGGCGTAGGGCGTCTCATCCTCCATCCGCTCCCTCAGGAGGAATCTTGTGCGAGCCTCCCGTGCCAGATAAGGAGCGGCCTCCTGAAGCTCCGTGACTCACCGCGCCTCCTCCGCACGCTCCCACGCTTGACTCAAAATGGCACCACTCGGCCACGGGAGGTCCACCGTTGACAAAATGGCAACCACCATGTGCGTGGTCCCCCGTCCAGAGCCCCCTGCTCCAGCTCCGATGGAAGCTCCCGCTTTGTTTTCCCCACTCTCCTCCACGCCATCCCCTGGGGTCCGGGCCTCGTGCCAGCCCGCACCCCTCTCCACATGGCGGTCCTCCGCCATGCTGCTTGGTTGGCGCTTGACCACGGGAAAATCTCAGCCACTCTCTCCGTTGACGTGCAGCCCCCATTCTCTCTCCATCGACGTGCAACCGCTCTCTCTCTCCATCGACGTGGAGCCTCTTTCTCTGTCCACGCTCACCCGCTCACGGCACCTGGCGTAGCTACTCTTGCCGTTGACGCACGGCTGCTCTCTCTCCGTCGACGTGCAGCTTCTCTCTCCGTCGACGCCCAGCAGCTCTCTCTTTGTCGATGCATAGCCGCTCCCACCTCCTTACGTAGCCACTCCTGCCACCAATGTCCAGCCAATCTCTCATCGGCAGATGTGTAGCTGCTCGCCCCGCAATTTTTGCACAGCAGTTGTCCCGCCAAACTGTGGCAGCTCCTCCGTTGCCCACGGGCTTCGAAACTGGGATCCCGGGTCCCGGGGCTGTCAGAGGGACAACCATCTCGCTGTCCTCGTCCCGATAATATCCCACTTCTGACACCAAATGTAGTATCATGCGTCTCTTCTTCATTCTTGCTCAAGTCTTGTGTATGCGTGCGGGTGGCTTGCGTCGTACACAGTCGGAGACGAGGTAGTCGCAGGAGGCACCGTCCTCCCCTTTTATCGTTGTTGAGTTCACGCCACCACTCGGGCCCCCTCTCTCTCATGAAAATGCTGCCGCACGACCCTTCCAAGACACGACCTAACTCCTACAGCCAAACTCCCCTTTCCCTCCCCTCCCGTGCCTATATAAAGCCACAACAGCAGATATTTTTCTCACCTGAAGATGGTCGCTTGTTTTGCGACCGAAACGTCGTGTTTTCTTTTATTATTTTTTCTATCTACGTGACTTTACCGAAAGAACCAGAGAGTATGGATTCCTGCAGTCACGAAAGCTTCAAATCAAGATTGTGTTGTACTAGTAACGAATTGTTTTTGTGAGAAACCTTACTACAGTAATTGGCTGTGTCGGGTGGTGGCGGGTTTAATGACACATTTATATATTTACGCGATCTAACCCAAAAAAACCTGTATAATGGATGATAAGCCTTGTGCAAATAGTCATTATAGAATATGGAAAATCCTCCATGTTTTATGTGCCACATGCATGAAACAATGACACATCTGCGTTACAATTATAAATTATTGCATCTCAGGCAATCTGAAATATGCTCTCTATTTATTTACCTGGGCAGTGATCACATATTTTTCATGAATGTTAATGAGTTTCAATTTTCACTGGATTATTTTTTCCTATGTTTTCATGTTTATTCTTCGAGTTAAATCATTTAACGTATTAAATCACATTTAATTTATGTACTGTTTTTCTACTTTGTACAGAACCTTTTGTAAGAAAGTATAAACCACCAAAACTATTCAAATGTATAGGTAAAGTAGAATTAATTTTTATGGATTGGAGAAATAAAGGCATAAATATGAATAATAAGCACTATGAAACATTTAACATTTGCTTTTGACAAAGTCATGATAACCATCAATGATAATGAACTACATATTTTCCTTACTTTGTGCGGATTCGATTTGTGCAATTTAGCGTATATGCGGCTAATCTATTTATACCCAAAATTCGTGATATGCTATTTGAATTCTCTCATATGCGGCATATTACGGTTTGACGTGGTACAACATTGCTGTGTGTGATATGTGCGCTACTCAGCTGGCAGCTGTCTCGTGAGGTTTCGCTTTGTGCACCATTTTTTTTTGGAATGCATCTCCTACTGCATAAAGCGAGGGACAACTGTACAGGAAATTATCGACAAACTAATGAATGCATTTGCAAAGTGGGACTAAAAATAAAAACGAGCAAAATAAACGTCAAAACACAACAAGTTCCCTGAACAAAAGGAGATAATTGTTTGAGAGACGCAAGTATAAAACACAACAGAGTATGTATACCTGGGGTAATTATTGAAGGTGTACCGGGATCAAAATGATTAACTGTGAGCTACAGCAGGATGGAGTGCTTTTAGACAATTAAATTTAATAATTAAAAGCAACATACCGATGAGTCTCAAGAATAAAGTTTTTTTTAACGCGTACGTATTATAACCTGCCATGACATGGATGCAAGAAAGGATCTACAAATGTATGCTGGGAATTACACTGAGAGAAAGAAGGAGAAACACATGCATGAGAGAATGCAAATTAAAGACATGTTTTTGACTTAATAAGAGTGAGCGATAATAGGCAGGACACATTGCTCAAATGGATGGTGGCCAGTGGAGGGCAATGGTGACAGCTTGGCAGTCAGAGGGGGGAACGTGGCTAAGAGGACAACCACCATGGAGATGGAGCAAAGTGATCAGCTCAAAAGGGAAGTTTAGTTTCAATGTACTCTCTCTTGGCCTTAAATAATGAACGTCGTTGATTTATTGATTGTACACGTGCTCCCCCTCCCGCCCCACACTTAATTTATTGTGGAGCTCTATGCCAGTACAAATACTATTAAGAAAAACAGAAGCAAATTGAGCCCGGCAAGACTTGTCACGAGAAGAGTTGGCAATCAATGGACAAAACTAACGAATGAATAGAAGCTGAATGAGGCAGCTCATTCAATGGGGATTTAAACTGTTCAATGAATATAAGCAGAAGGGAATGGACTAGGTTAGCAACTTCCCAGGATAACAACAAGGCCCTTTGTATGCTGTGAAATGCCACAATTTTACATCAACAATGCATTTATGTTTCTCGTTACAGAGAACGTTTCCAGCATAACAATAAACAAGCCGCACGTCTGCGTATCCACTTAAGTTTTTTTAATGCTAAAATATCCAAACCAAACTGCACTCACCATAACATCACCTACATGATTTGGAGTTTACAGAATGTGCCCAGTTCAGATGTCACTCAATGCTGACGTTAGTCATGCCCAGGAGTTGAATAATATTACATTAATTTGTTTACTTATTTACTTTACTCATGATCCATCTCGGAAGCATAAATATATATGTGCAGGATATTTCCTAATTGTGAGGTCCTTGAGTGAAGTGTTGGGATTTGGGTGGCACTCACCTTGGGGTATGGGTACCGCCGGCTGCCCGGGTAGAGAGCGGCTGTGAACAGTGGGATCTCCATGCTGGGCACCGTCGTTTCATTGATGGTGATGTAAGCCAACCTCGTGCCATCGGGAGACCACCAGTGTGTCTTGTGCGAATGCAGTATCTCTTCTGCCGACAACGAGAGAAGAATCAATAAAAATTTATCTTTGTCGAGGCACCTGTGTTATTGCATTTTATGAAATAAAAATGTATCCTCGCCAATAAGGTAAGTTAAAGGTCTTCTAGTAAAGTGAGTATTTGCTGACTTCCATCGCCTTGATATTGCCAATGGAATTCAGCACGTTCCTGGAATAACTTTACATTATTATTGTTTTCATTCACGAAGCATCAAACTATGCGATACATAGCCTAAGTGTGTGTCTACCAAAACACAAAACAGAGCTAGTGATAAAAACTCAAAATGGCTATGATAGGGACCGGTCTCTGGACAGAACAACCACTGTTGATTTCTCACAAAGTGCGACTCTTTTTCATCCCTAGAGGAATGGTATGATATGTTGATTTTGCATTGAGCACAGTACCACCACAGAGTCTCTTATCTGGATGATGTACCATAATATGTCCATGCCTTTTTTAGTAAACCCTCAAAATGCATACCCACAATTATTTTTCAGATGGTTTTTACTTAATGTTATAAATGTGACCCACATTGTTTCTCACCTCTTCTAAAATACAAAGTAATGGTGTTAGAAACCCAATAGCCAAATATGCATGCTCCCGAGTGGAATGACATTGACAATGTGAAGAAACTTCACAATAAAATTACTGTTCATGAAAGCTCCACCGATTCTTAACATTTTTCAGTGAGGTCCTGCTTGGCATAACTCTTTTCGAGTGTTTTTGCTCAAAACTGCCAAAATGAAAACCCACACAAACTGAGAGAATAAGTCAAACTAAACATAGACTGACCACAGCCCACTTGTTGTACTGCCTTCGAAAAGCACTTCACTCTGCCTGCAGGCTAGTGTCTAACGTGCGTGCTCTTGGCAGGATTCGCCGACTCAGGGTGGCCAATTTAAATTTGTGAGCCACTCTGCACTAATGAGGGCACACTCGCTCTACTTGAACTACACGCACAAACGGACAAGGGGTTATTGGGCTTGCTTAACCTTGACCAAACAGGGTCCCCCACAGGAACAAGTTCGAACCCATTAAAAGATCAAGGCAGCATGGTGTTCATCTTATACTAGATGTCTACATCTGCATTTACATGATGTTCTCTCCATACACTCGTCAAGGAATGATCTTGTCTGGGAGCATAAACCATCAAGTTAACTCCGGTTATCCTTGCCTTTGGCTAGCCATCTGGAACACTCTTCCTTCTGATATTAGGAAGCCACTGGAGCTATGCACTTTTAAATCTAGGTTAAACACTGGCTCAGGGCTGTAAACAGGAGATGAGCATGTAGCCTTAATGCCTCCTTCCATTAGCAATTTCTGCTTCAACGAATGCGCCCACAATTTAGCCATTTTGGTTGACGACAGTGCGGCTATGACTGCCACCACGTACAGCTGCTGCGTGGCAACCAATTGGGTGGGACACTGCACTCAGGACATTGTACTCCCCGGAGCACAGTTGTCAAAAAAACGGATTTGTTCAAGGCATAGTTTATTTAGTCTTCATCCCTTTTCCAATGCTGAAGCCCCCCCGCATCAATAATGGTGGTTGTTTGACCATACTTCACTTCGCTGGTCAGCACAAGTTGGTGAAGTGTGGGGGGGGGGGGGGCAGTTTAGGTTTAAATCTCGCACACACGCTGCTGATTTTATCTGCGGCTGGGAATCTAACTCATGTTCATAGTGCAGTGTACTAACTACGACGTTTGTATGGCACCTTAGCCTGTACAGTACCTCAAAGCCTAAAACAAACAAACAATCTCTGAAATTGCACGACACAAGGAACATAAAATAATAATGGAATTTGTAAAACTTTAGAGGAGGCACACAAATACAACAATCGGTTGCCCCCACGCACGCAAGTCGCACAATCCACAGAGGCTCAAGAACTAAACCCTGCGAACGGTCAAAAATACACACAACAGATTTCCTCAGGTAAATACCACGACGGCCAGATTAAAATCAACGTCTGCCTCATACCCACCCGTTAAGTGGTTCCAGAGAAATTATGCAATATCCATTTTTTCACGATGACTAAAATGTAAAACTGATGTATTAATTAAGATTAGAGCCACAACAAATGTATTATATTTCAAACGAGAGAAAGCCCATTGAGACAAGTTTATTGTGTAGGGGTGATCTGGACAGATGTAATTGATTCCCCTGTTCAACAACTTTTTGGTGTCACTGAGTAACCTGCTGTCCTTCATCCTGCGCACATTTGCCACCGATAAAACTCCAAATGAGTCTAGAATTATTCATGTGTGTATATATACACATATGTCGTGGGTTCAAGGAGAGTGGAGAGGACTTGTAGAGGCAACACATTTATTTACAACAACGGTAACAATAGCAGTCTTTGACACAAAGGGGCAGCGGCCCCTTTGCCTGCTACCTGGGGAGGTATGGCCTCCGGCCTAGTGTGCCCTATCACTGGGACCACGGGCTCTCTCTCCTCTGGCTAAGGGTGACCTAGGGGGGGATATACTGACCCGACCCAGCCAAGGTACGGGTCCTGACCACTGGCACACTCGGTCCCGACCCTTACAAGGACGTCGGGCCTTGGGGGTTCCCAGGGTCTCACCACTGGCCCACTCAGTCCCGGCCCTTAGAAGGGCAGCGGGTCTAGGGGTTCCCAGGGTCCTAGGCTAGCTGGTCTTCTGGCTTCAGTCTTCAGACTGGCCCCAGACTCTTCCAGATGCCCGGCTTTTATACACCTCCCCAGGTGTGTCCGCCCCTGGCGACACCTCCCTTCCAGAGAGTTCCAAAGGGGGGGGGGGGGGGATGTCTCGGGGGATTCTAGAACACCCCACAGCCCCCCCCTGTTTTGGGGTTGGGAAAGGTAGCGACCCCCATGCCGGTCCAAGTTACTGCCCCTGGTGGGCCCTGTCTGCTACTGCAGGTAAGTACACAGCCCATTTACAGTGCTACACAGATAGGAAATTGTTGTCTGCAGAGTATGCCCTTGGAATCACTTGGGCTTTAGAACCCACACAAGGGTTAATAAAAAAAAGGGCAAAGTAATTTTCAGAAAGCTATAAGTCGCTGGTCAAAAGGAACATCTTTTAATATTCTGCACCATGTACAATTGTGAGAGGTGTTTCTGCTTGGCTGCACAAACGTTATTGAAGTCAGCAAAGCTCAACGCCTAATTGTCTTCTTCTCCAACCCCCTCTGAAATCCCAAGAGCATGTGCACTACAGCTTGCAATATAAACAAAATTCATAAACATGTGCGGAGCACACCTCTGTGACACTATATACTATATATGTGGATACATCATGCTCATGCCGATTTACATGTACAATCATGCACAATAGAGTGGTCCAGTCATGCGGTGCAGTGGTTGAAGTGACTGAATTGCTCCACTCACAATCGGATGTTTTGCCAGGTCAATTCTGGAATGGAGCTCAGCTCAAACCATTAGCCTTTAAGAGTCAATTAAATGTATGTATGTTGAACTTCTTATGCAGCGTACATAGCCAACTGTGTTAATCGGAAGTGTGGGAGAAGGATAACAAACTAAACACAAAAAGCAGTTTAAAGAAATGAGTTTTCTATCTAGATTTTAAAGTGCATAGTTCCTATGGATTCCTAATATCGGAAGGAAGAACACTACAGACGGCCACAAAAGCGCATCCAAAAGCGTGCAATGCAATGACCGTCTTTGTTCCACATCTAGCCAAAATCTGCTGCGAGGATGCCCGGAGTTCACATGATAGTTTATGTTCCTTGACGATATCAGCAAGGTATTGTGGTTCATTTGTGGCATGTGGCAAGCATTTTGTGTGTAATCAGCGCGACCTTATCACATAATCATGCAAATGAGTACAAATTTGTCAGAAGTCAAGAATAGTTGTTGTCGGGAGATACTGGAATCCGCCATGAGAACGTATAATTTCTACCACTTGCAAAGCGCCTCCAGCGGAGATGAGTGCTGACCCTTTGCTCATTTGAGCAGGAAGATGCTTTCTAAATTCAGGGTATATTGTACCTAAAGCAGGCATCAACAAGGTTTGCGTAAATTTAGACTTAAAACTTTCGTGACTACAGGAATTCAATTTCTGGTTCTTTTGGTAAAGTCACGTAGATAGAAAAAAAAATTCTAAATTTAATTTAGATTTTTGGTTTTCGTAATAAGGTTTGCATAAAAAAAACAAAATATACTTTGCAATATGTTTACCATTTAAAAAAAATACATCTACAGTGATTGTGTTATGAAACAAGCAGCACATTGAATAGTCAAGTGTACAATACAAGTAACAGCAAATAAATACAATGACTGTGAAACACCGCCATGCTTGGCTGCATTAACAGTCTTACCCAGTGCTAATTTAGACTCACGGCACCAGGCACTAATTTTCAACAAGTCGACCTTGGGGAGATCCAGTCCACGTTCAGATTGCAATTGCCCCTGGTGAATGGGATATCAGTAAAGTGCAGCACTCGTGATTCCACTATTCCCCGCAATAACATACACAACTGCAGTGTGTAGAAGCAGCAGCTGGCAAATTGTGTTTTACTGATAACTTGTGGGTTTCTACTGACTGCCGTGAGGTCAGGTCCTTAAGGCACAGCTGCTGTGAGAAGACCTGCACTGAGGGTTGTGGAGACAGAACAGGCCTCTAGCATAGGGCTCCAGGGACTAGGCACTAATACCATGCTACTGGTAAAGAGCAGTCACATGGGAATACAGAGAATGCAGCTGGACGTTACATGGTACGTACCAGTAGTTGACAAGCTACTGTATATAACAGCTGCACGCTATCAACAGTGGTGCACACCTTTGAAAGGATGCTGCCGTGGTGCAAATGATGGCACACTGGACTTGCAATCCAGAGACTGCCAGTACTATATCCTGGTGCGGCAGTTGAAATAATGCGAAAATGTCTTAAATCACCTGGCCCCTGTTCACCCAGCAGTATACGTATGCAAGGATACAACCACAGTTTGTCATTCGGCAGGTCACATGTGGTGGTTAAAGTGGAAGA